TACTCTTCAAGCCAAACTTACAATACAATATTACATTTGTGAAGCACCTTTCACGCAAGGAGGATGTCCCAAGGCACTGGGACAGTCAGGGATTAGGGATTAGGACCCGAGCCGGGAGGGGATGGGGTTGGGATCAGGGAGGGCAGGAGGGCGGCTGAAGACACGGTCGAAGAGGAGGGTCTTGAGGCGTGCCTTGAAGGAGGCAAGGGAGGGGGCGAGGCAAAGGGAATGTGGGATGGAATTCCAGAGGGCGCGGGCAAAGAGGCTGAAGGCCCGACCGAAGATCGTGGGACCGGCCGGGGACATGGAGCAGGTTGGAGGCTGCGGAGCAGAGGGAACGGACAGGTTGATAAGAGGTTAACAGGTCACAGAGGTAGGAAGGAGCAAAGCAGTGGAGGGCTTTGAACATGAGTACAAAGATTTTGAACTCTATCCTCTCGGTTCCACTCTATCCAGTGGAGCCGGGCGAGGGTGGGGGTGATAGGGTCACGGAGCCTGGGGCGGGAGAGGACACGAGCCGCAGAGTTCTGGCTGACCTGCAGCTTGTGGAAGGAAGAGTTGGGAAGGCCGACAAGGAGGGAGTTGGCGGAGTCGAGCCTACGTGACACTAGAGAAGGGAAAGTCTCCCAATGGGCCAACCAAACAGTCCTCCTCCTCATAAAATTTGTGATTCACTTCACGGCTACTTGTGGGAATCTGCAGTGTGCAGTGGAGTCCTGTAGCTCAGTGGTTAGAGCACTCGCTTTGCAAGTGAGAGACCTGAGTTCAATTCCAGGCAGAGGGCCAAACCTCGGGCAAGTTTCCTTACTCCACACAGAGCCTAATAATAATCCCTCCAAAAACAAAAAAAATAATAATTTGGTCATTTTCAATCCACGACTACCTGTGGGACATTGCTGTGCGCAATTGGCTGCCGCGTTCGCCCACAAATATAGTCAATTCACTTTACAGTGTGTTCTGTGAAGCGCTTTGGGACGTCCTCCCGACGTGAAAAGCGCTATATCAAATGCAAGGATTATTATTATTATTATTATTATTAATAACCTGCTGGATTTGCCTACAGATAGACACTACCCTTGATTTTCCCCTTGCCCAACACCCCCCCACACACGTCCCCCCCCCACCCACCCTTGGCTCCCATCCCTAGCTCGGGTGCCAAGTCAGGAACATCAAGTGCCTTGAGATGTCCTCCCGACCTGTGTTTGCATTGTATTGGGTGCAGATTGTTTCGGACAATGAGCTCACAGCAAAGTTCTGCACACAAATAGGAGATGAACGGTCGATTGTATCCAGGAGACAGTCCGTCACAACATTGGGAGGTACTGCCTTCGCTTATTCATGGAATCTCTTAACAGCCAAATGAACAGGTAGACGTTACAACCACTTAGGTTTGCATTTGCACAGCGCCCCTTTATGTGGGGTGGAGTTCCGGAGCACTTCAGTTACAATGAGTTGAAGTTTCACGCGGCGGCTCAGTGGTTCGAGCCCTCGCCTCGCAAGCGAGAGGACTTGGGTTTGATTCCCGGGCCGGGCGTGACCTTGGGTCAGTTTCCTTGCTCCGCACGCCTCTGTTTCCCCAGCAGTAAGTAGGAAGCTGGTAGTTACTCGATTGGCTGATCGCTTTTCTGGGGAAAGTAATTTCCTTCCCAAAAATAATAATAATGAATTGGTCACTCAACCCGCGGCTGTTTGTGCGGGGACACCGCCGGGCGCAATTGGCTGCCCGGTTTCGCCCACAACGTGCGCAGGCAATTCACTTTACAGTGTATCCTGTGAAGCGCTTTGAGACGTCTCGAAGACGTGGTAAGGCGCTGTGTCAAATACCAGGATTATTATTATTATTATTATTATTGTTTCCATGATGGTATTTCTGCCGCTACCTGATGTGGCAGATTCTATCTTCAATGTTACGGGGCGGGGGGGGTGGTGGGGAGGAGGGAGGGAGGGAGGGGGTGGGGGGTGGGGGGTTCGGGAGGGAGAGAGGAGGGGAGGGAGGAGGGAGAGAGGGAGGGGGGGGTTCAGGAGGGAGAGAGGGATGGAGAGAGGGTTCGGGAGGGAGGGTGGGGGGGGTCGGGAGGGTGGGTGGGTGGGTGTATTGTCACTGGCTGATTGTCAAGACACTCCCACCCCCAGGGCTGGCGCAGTCGGTCCCGCTTCACTCTCACCTCACCTGAGCGTCGGAAGCCCGTGGCCTCGAGCCTCGTGTCGCGACTTTGATCTCCGTCTCGGCTGATAATGCTCCAGTACGGTGTTTGGGGAAGCGCTCCAGGGTGACGGGGCTTCTATACAAACACAAGTCATTGTATTGTCAGAGATATTATCCTTCGAACGAGACTTTAACCCCGAGACGCCATAAATCGGTCATTCACTTTATATTGCCCGTCGGCACAGACTGGCTTCTGTTTTCCCGTAAATACAATTGATTTCTCTGTGACGCACCTCGAGGGGTTTTAATAAATACTCCTCGCGTTCGATATGGTGTCTCATTGCGACTTGTCGGGAGCTATTTCACAGGGTGTACCTCAAATGTGGTGTGACCTCTGTGTAATTTGCGGGCGAAAAGTGACAACCAACTCGCGCGCAGCAACGTCCCACAAACATCCACGGAGTGAGTGATCGGTTTTATTCGTGGTGGTGGGGGGGGGGGGAATTGTTGGCAAAGATGCCGAGAGTAACGCTCTTCACTTTTCGGAGCTCATCGTGGGATCTTTAATGTCCGCCTGAAACTGGCAGATGGGACCTCGTTTTTAACGTCGCTCCTGAAGGACCTTACCTCCAAACTTGAGGTTTGTGGGTGAACAGTGACAAACCAATGCTGTTCTGAGGTGGAAATCTCACTGTCTGTGCCAATTGTGTGCAACAGTCAGTTCCCCCCGACGTGAAAGGCGCTATACAGATGTAATCTTGTTGTTGTTGTTCTCTGCGAAGTGCTTTGGGATGTCCTTCTCCCACGAAAACTCACACACGCGCGAGCGCGCACAAGTTTTGCGGTCTGCAATCCCGTATCTTAGCGGTTAGAGGGCTCGCCTCACGAGCGAGAGGACCTGGGTTCGATTCGCGGGCAGGAGAAAAACGTTGGGCAAGTTTCCTCGCTTTACTCCAGACGCTTCTCTTGGAACAGGTTGCGAACGCGCGCTAAAGTCTGTCCAGGGTGCCTCAGGCAGGGGAGGAAATTCCCTGGGTTTCGTTTTAGCAGGAGTTGAGAGATTTATTGCTGTCGGTCACTTGATTTGCTCGTGGTGCTGATCATTGGGCGGTAGACTCGGACTCTGAACTCATTTAAGAAACTGCTCGAAGCTGTAACGGGAATGGATTGAAGTGTTATTTGCAGCGGGAGATAAAACAGAGCAAACCTTGACCCACATCTCAGACACCAGCAGTGCTGAGTTACTCATCTCAGACTGGAGTAGGCCTTGTGACTACTACAACAACAACAAGATTACATTTGTACAGCGCCTTTCACGTCGGGAGGATGTCCCAAGGCACTGGGGGGGAAGGGAGGGGAGGGGAAGTGGCGGGTGGCCGATGGCATGGTCGAAGAGGAGGGTCTTGAGGTGGGACTTGAAGGAGGTTAAGGAGGGGGCGAGTCGGAGTGACTGTGGGGATGGAGTTCCAGAGGTTGGGGGCAGAGTGACTACAATTGGCTTCCACACTCCCTGGGTCAGGGAGGGTGAGATTGGGCAAGAATAGAATGGAGTTTAACTCTGATACCCACCCCCCTGCCCCTGCCTGTCCACAATATTCGGACTCCAGCCTCACACACGGACAACGACCACGACACTGGGGTGGGGGGGGGGTGGGGGAACGTGACCGTAATCATGATCGAAGAGGAAGGTCTTCAGGGGCGACGTGAAGGTGGGGAAGAAAGAGGCAAGGCCGAGGGATAGAGGAAGAGAGTGACAGAGTTTCGGGGGCTTGGTGGGTGAAACTCGGCCACCAACGGTGGAACGGACGGCACGACAAGCTGGAAGTCAGAGCCGGTCAAGCGGAGGCAGTGGGTTGTGTGTAAGCAGGTCGGAGAGGTAGGGAGGGGCCAGGGCACGAAGGGATTTGAAGACGAGTGTGAGGACCTGGGGCCGGTTGAACGTATGAAGGTTGGGCAGTCTGTAGGGAAGGAGATAAATGAGGGCGGGCTGAAGAACTCATTGGCAAAGAATTGATCATAATGGAAGCAGACGGCGTGTGGGTGATGTAGTAAGCCGGTCAGGAACCTGGGTGTCTTGTTTGACCCTGAACTGTCCTTTCTCCCCCACGTCCGCGCCATGACCGGCACTGCCTACCACCACCTCCACAACATTGCCAGACTCCGCCATTGCCTCACCCCTCAGGCTGCCCAAACCCTCACCCACGCGTCCGTCACCTCAAGGCTCGATTACGGAAACTCCCTCCTCATCGGCCTTCCCAACTCTTCCCTTCACAAGCTGCAGATCATCCAAAACTCTGCAGCTCATGTCCTCTCCCGCACCAGGCTCCGTGACCCCATCACTCCCATCCTCGCCCGACTCCACTGGCTCCCCATCCCCCAGAGGATCGAGTTCAAGATCCTCGTCCTCACCTTTAAGGCCATCCATGGCCTTGCCCTCTCCTACCTCTCTGACTTGTTGACTCCCTACCAACCTACTCGCTCCCTCCGTTCATCGGGCTCCGGCGTGCTCCATGTCTCCCGCCCGACCCGCCCTAGTGTTGGTAGCCGGGCTTTCAGCCTCTCTGCCCCCACACTCTGGTAGTCCCTTCGCCTCACTTCCTCCCTTGTCACCTTCAAGGCTGGTCTCAAGATCCTTCTCTTCGATCGTGCCTTCGGTCTCCCTCCCACCTCTCTGCCTTCCCTCCCCCCTACACCAGTTCCCACTCCCCCATGTTCGGGCCCCGACACCTGACCGTTCAGCGCTTTGGGACGTCCTCCCGACGCGAAAGGCGCTCTGTATAAGTGTCATTTCTTGTCGTCGTTCGCTGTAGTAGTGATGGTGCGGTGACACGAGGCCACTTGTGTTTGCTTGCAGGAAGCGAGGGGGGGGAGCACCATGGAACAGTGCTTCGACAACGAGAGCGTTCCGTTCTTCTATAACAACAGCAGGAAGACCCTGAGCAACCATTGGAGGACCAAGGACAAGCTGGTGGTAGCTCTGGGACTCAGTGTGTGTGTGATTGTCATCCTGGCAAACATCCTGGTTATCCTCGCCATCATTGTCAACCGTCGGTTCCACTACCCCATCTACTACCTGCTCGGCAACCTTGCCGCCGCCGACCTCTTCGCCGGGATCGCTTACCTCTACCTGATGTTCCACACGGGCCCTCGGACTCGCGAGCTGACCGTCAAGACCTGGTTCATTCGACAAGGGCTCATCGACACCAGTCTGACGGCTTCGGTCGCCAACCTGCTCGCCATCGCGGTGGAACGGCATCAGACAGTCTTTCAGATGCAGCTGCACAGCACCATGAGCAACCAAAGGGTCATCATCCTGATCGTCTGCATCTGGGTCACGGCCATCATCATGGGGTTGATCCCCATGATGGGCTGGAACTGCGTCTGCGACCTGACCCAGTGCTCCATCATGGCCCCGCTCTACAGCAAAAGCTACCTGATCTTCTGGGCGGTCTCCAACCTGGTCATCTTCTTCGTCATGCTCATGATCTACACCCACATCTTCATCTATGTCTACGGCAAGACCAAGAGGATCTCCAAGCACACCGCCTTCCAGCCAAAGCACAAGGAGACCATGATGAACCTAATCAAGACCGTGGCCATCATCCTCAGTGAGTGCAGCCCTCCACCAACACGCTTGCCTTCCCTCCTCCATCCTCTCCCAACTGCTAGCTCACCCCTCCCACCCCCCACCCACCCCCCACACATACACAACAACAACAACAACAGCGCCCTTCACACGGGGTGGAGCGCCTCATGGTGGCGGAGTCTGACCCCGAGCCAGGGGGAGAGGGAGGGAGGGTGGGAGTGACCGTAAGCACGATCAAAAAGGAAGGTCTTTAGAGGGGATTTGAAGGTGGGGAGGGAGGGGGTCAAGGCGGAGAGATTGAGGGAGAGAGTTCCAGAGTTTCGGGGAGGAGGATTATCATTATAATTTGCTTTCATCCCTCTTCAGCTCTTGGGCATTAGCTTAGGTGGGGAGCGACAGATTATTCAACTGTGAAACCATATAAGTTTGATCCGTATAAATCTTACAATTGCCAAAGTCTTACATCTGCCCAAGTCCCGTTCCAGAGTTTATATTCTATGCAAATTTGGTTTAATAATAATCCATGCATTTGATATAACTCCTTATCACATCTTTGAGTCATCTCAAAGAGCCTCACAGAATATACAGCGAAGTAAATTGACTGTCTGTTTTGTGGGCAGCCAATTGGACACAGCAGCGTCCCCGCAAACAGCCGCGGATTGAGGGACCAAATTATTATTCATTTGTTTTTTGGAGGGATTATTACCCCCGGAAAAGCAATCCGCCAATCGACTACCAACTGGGTTCCTACTTATTGCTAAGTAAACCGAGGCGTGTGTGTGTGTGTGTGTGTGTGTGTGGAGTAAGGAAACTTGCCCAATGTTTCTCCCTGCCCGGGTCCTCTCGCTTGCGAGGCGAGCGCTCTAACCGCTGAGCTACAGGACTCCGTATACTTTTCATAAATGTAAATGTATCGTCCCAACTGATATCCTATGAGGTTTACTGCATTTAATTCGTAGCAGGGAAACCGAATGGTGAACGTGAATATAACTATGTGATTTTTCGCGCACAAAAAATATAGTCAATTCGCTTTACAGTACGTTCCGCAAAGCGCTTTGAGATGTCTCAAACAACAACAACAAGAAGATTCCATTTACTGAGCGCCTTTCACGTCGGGAGGACGTCCCAAGGCGCTGTACAGTTGGGTCAGGACCTGAGCAAGGGGGGAGATGGTCAGGGTGAGGGGAGGGAGGGGAGGGAGCGAGGAGGGGGGATATGGTCAGGGTGAGGGGAGGGAAAGCCCGCCCGCCAATGGTGGGGCGGGCGAGGCGGGGGACGTGAAGCTGACCGGAGCCCGCTGAGCGGAGAGCGCGGACGGGTTGCTCGGGGGGTTAGGAGGTCACAGAGGTAGGGAGGAGCAAGGCCAAGGCCAAAGAACAAAAACATAGCGTCCTTCATGCAGGGCTGAGCCTCGGAGAACCGGGCAAAATTTGGGAGATCCAAACTAGACTTTAAAAGAGCCGTTGAAATCAAAATTAAGGAAGTGTTGATGAATTATTGACTGTTTAGGCCGCAGCTGAAATATTGTGCGTAGGATACCACGTTATAGAAAGGGCAATTGAGGTATGGAGAGGACGCAGCATATGTTCACAAGAACGACAATAATATAACAATAATAATCCTTGTATTTGATACAGCACCTCACCACGTCTTCTGGACGTCTCAAAGGGCTTCACAAAATGTTCTGTAAGGTGAATTGACTACGTTTGGTGGGCGAAACATGGCAGCCAATTGCGCACACATCAGTGTCCCCCAAACAGTCATGGATTAAGGGACCAAATTATTTCTATTTATTTATTTACTTTTTGAAGGGATGACTTACCCCGGAAAAGCGATCCGCCAATCGACTAATACCCGGGTTCCCACTTACTACTCGGTAAACAGAGGCGTGTGGAGTAAGGAAACTTGGCCAATGTTTCGCCCTGCCCGGGAATCGAACCCAAGTCCTCTCGCATGCGAGGCAAGTGCTCTAACCACTAAAAAAAAAACGATGAGGGGAAGTCAGGACTCTTCACATTGGAGCAGAGAAGGTTGAGGGATGACGTGATGCAGGTGTTTAAGGTAATGAAAGGGTTTGGCGGAATTGGTCGAGAAAAAGCTCTGTTTGTCGGAAATTCAAGGGCGAGAGAGCGTGGATTCAAGATTGGGACAAGAAACATTAAAAGAGCTTTGGAGAAAGATCTTCTCCCTGAGGGTTGTCCTCCCGACGTGAAAGGCGCTCTATAAATTAAATCTTGTTGTTGTTGTTGTTGTTGTTGTCAGGATGGAGTCATTTTCCAGGGTTGGCTGTTGGAGCAGAGTTGATTGGAACATTTGGAAAATAAGTTGAGCAACACATTCAGTGAAAGGGAATTGGAACGTGCAGGGAATTGCTTGCCAAGACAGCGATGTCAATGGCAAGCTGCGCGGTTTTAGCTGGTTAGACTCCAGCAGTTACCCCAACGCACACTCAGGAGCCCCCCAAGCCTTGGCTCTGGCCAACCTGCACCTTGAATGCTTTCCAGAATTAGATAAGAAGGATGGTTCCCTCCAGAAAGAGAGAGAGAGAGAGAGAGGATTCTATTCCAACAATCTATCTTGGTAACACCATCCACAGACATGGCATCAACTTCCACACGTATGCAGATGACACCCAACTCTACCTCTCTGCCTCCACCCTCGACTCCAGGGCCCACTGCTGTCCTGACTGAATGTCTGTCAGACATCAAGTCCTGGATGAGAGCAAACGTTCTCCAGTTGAACGTCAACGATACCGAGGTTCTCCCGATTGGCTCCCATCAGCGCCTCCACACCTCAGGCGCTGATAGCATCACCATCCATGGTTGCACACTCCACCTTACTGAGCCAGTCCGGAACCTTGGTGTCTTGTTTGACCATCAACTGTCCTTTGTACCCCACATCTATGCCAAGACCCGCTCTACCTTTTCCCACCTCCGCAACATCACCCGGCTCCACCACTGCCTCACCCCCCAGGTCGCCCAAACTCTCATTCGCACGTTTACCACATCTAGGCTCGACTACGCCAACTCCCTGCTTGTCGGCCTTCCCAACAATTCCCCCCACGAGCTGCAGATCTCCACACCTCTGCAGTTTGTGTCCTCTCCCGCACCAGGCCCTGTGACCCTACCACCCTCCACCCTCGCCCGGTTCCACTGGCTCCCCATGCCCCAGAGGATAGAGTTCAAAATCCTCGTCCTCACGTTCAAAGCCCTCCATGGCCTTGCTTCTTCCTACCTTGTGACCTGCTGATCCCATATCAACCCGTCCGCTCCCTCCACTCAGCAGACTCCAGCCTGCTCCACGTCCCCCGCCTAGCCCGCACCAACATTGGCGGTTGGACCTTCAGCCTCTCTGCCCCCACTCTTTGGAACTCCATCCCACAATCCCTTTGCCCCACTCCCTCCCTTGCCTCCTTCAAGGTACATTTCAAGACGAGGAGTCCTGTAGCTCAGTGGTTAGAGCACTCGCTTTGCAAGCGAGAGACCTGGGTTCAATCCCAGGCAGAGGGCGAAACCTTGGGCAAGTTTCCTTACTCCACACAGAGCCTAATAATAATCCTCCAAAACCAAAACAATAATAAATTGGTCATTTTCAATCCACGACTGTTTGTGGGACATTGCTGTGCGCAATTGGCTGCCGCGTTCGCCCACAAATATACAGTCAATTCACTTTACAGTGTGTTCTGTGAAGCGCTTTGGGACGTCCTCCCGACGTGAAAAGCGCTATATCAAATGCAAGGATTATTATTGTTATTTATTATTAAGACCCTCCTCTCCGACCGAGCCTTCAGTCACCCTCCTACCCCTACCCTCCCTGATCCCAACCCCCAGCTCGTGTCCAAATCCCTGACTGTCCAGCAGCTTGGGACATCCTCCCCACGTGAAAGGCGCTGTGTCAATGTTATTTTGTATTTCGCTCTCTAGAATCCCCTCGTGTAGGTGGAATACTTGGAATTCTAAGTTTGGTTCGGATACTCTTAAGCAACAGTGATGGGTTTCCGCACATATCAAAAAAGAGTTGAATGCCCTCCAAATGTTGTATTTTTTTATGCTTGTAATTAAAGGGGGAATTGGGAAAAAATGTCTTCACGGTAGGCCGTGGGAATGTGGAATTCTCTGTCCCAAACCGCTTTTGAGGCCGAGTACATCAGTTCTTTCAGAATGGAATTGGTTTGACGCTTAAAGACGAGGACTGTTACACTAATTCTTGCATTTGGTATAGAGTTTTCACGTCAGGAAACCGTATCAAAGTCCTTCGTACGCAAGTTTCCTCACTCCGCCTGCCTCGGTGTTAGTCGATTGGCGGATTGCTTCCGGGTGGTAATAATCCCTCCAAAAAAAAAATAATTTGGTCACTCATACACCGTCGCTAAAATTTACAATATATTCTGTGAAGCGCTTTTGAGACGTCTCAACGGTGTGATACAAGGAGCTGCGTCAAGTGGAGGGATTTTTATTATTATTCACGGGATTTCCCGTAAAGCGTAGGGACTGTATTTCGTAGGCAAATTCGGCAGCTCATTTGCACACGGCATTCAAGAGAACGACAATTTCATCTGGGGGACAAAAGAGTAAGGAAAGTCTTTTCCGTAAGTGCTAAAACATCCCCCTGAACAGGCAGAGGTGACCTCAACAACAACAACAACAACAAGATTACCTTTATATAGCGCCTTTCACGTCAGGAGGACGTCCCGAGTCCTCAGTTTAACGTCTCATCCGAAGGACAGCACCACCAATAATAGAGTAGCCATACCCCAGGACAACGTTGGAGGGTCAACTTGGGTTTCAAAATCCTGACCCGGAGCTCGGACCCACAAACCTCTGACCCGGAGAGAGGCTTCGGAAGCCGGCCAGCTAGGCTAGGTTGACACATCCCACATTAAAAGGGTGTGGGAAGTGATCGGGATTAGTTAGACCTGTGTATAGAAAAACACCAGCGCTCAGGCTGGTCGGGCTGAACAGCGCACAATATTTGCTATTCCCAGAGAAATTGCTGAACGCAGTTTTCCTGGGGAAGACTGGAGGACGTACGTGCGTGTGCATGTGTGTGCATGTGTGTGTGTGTGCGTGCGTGTTGTCTCATCAACGTCTCTGTGACTTGCTCGGGATGTGATGGGATTTGCCCGTCGATCTGCTGGCAGTCTATCGGTGACTGTACAGAAGGCAGTTAAAGATTCTTGGAAAACGAACACGTGTTCAGTGAAACGATAATGTAGTGGAGGTCGATCAATCGACAGCTGGTCTGCGAACAAGACAGACCGCAGCCTGTACCTCTATCCAAAAGTGATTTGCGACAAAGAATTCCACATTCCCATTGCCCTCCGGGAAGACATTTTTTCCCAATTCCCCCTTTTTAATTAGAACCACAGAAAAATACCACAATCGGAGGCCATTCATTTGCGGATTGGGGGTGGGTGCGGGGAGGAGGGGGGGGGGGGTGTTAAGGGAAGGAGGTCGGAGAGGTGGTGGGGAGGTGCCAGGGCACGAACAGGAGCAGAGCGGGAAGGTTTCCCGTCCCAGCGATGGACTGGCGCGCGCGCGTACACGCTCGCGGGCGCGCGCGGGCGCACACACGCGCGCGGAGGTTCCTCGTACTTTCCGATCTGTGCGCACGGCTGGTCGCGTGTACACAGCGATGGTAAATCGCGAGCAAGCCTGAACAAAGGCTGGAAGCTGTCGAACCGGTTTCTCTCGGAGCCTGTAAACTGATCCCAGGTCCAACTCCTGCAGCTGCTCACCCATTCACCGGCGCGCACGAGCATCCTACAGAGAGAACAGCTGTGCATTGAGGATACTGTCCCTCCTCCATCCCCCCACCGAGGCTGACAACTCATTCATGGTGTCGTTGCGCAGTGCGATCGGTTACGGGGTTCGGGGGAAGGGGGAGATAGGTTTCAGTACGTCAAAGCGTACTGACCAAACTCCGTCCCCACGTCTCACCAGCTCTGGCCCAGGCTCCACTGGCTCCTCGTCCTCGCCAAACGGGTCGTCTTCAAGATCCTCACCCTCGTGTTCAAATCCCTTCCCTCTCTGGCACCTCCCTCCCTCTCCGGCCTCCTCACTCCTCAATCCCTCACCCGGTCTTCGCCTCCGATCGACTGCTCGCCCCTCGGGAGGGAGGAGGGGAGAGGGAGGAGGGAGGGAGAGAGGGAGGGAGGGAGGCGCAGGTTGGCAAGAGCCAAGGCTTGGGGGGGGGGGGCGCCCAAAGTGTGGGTTGGGGTAATGGCTGGAGTCTAACCAGCTAAACCCACACAGGTTGGCCATTGAGAGCCCAGTCTGGCCGAGCTTTCCCGCTGCTTGTCCAGCGAGGACCACCCTACCTTTGGCTGCGGAGTTAACTAGAGCTGAGGAGGACGATTCCCTGCCCCCAGTGACCGGTAGACCCTTCCAGGTCCTCCCGATGAGCCAAGGCCGGGCTGTGCTGCCATCAGCAGTGAGTGCCCTGGAACCCTGCGGCCCCTCCTGGCTCAGGAACCGGGACTGGAGACCGTCACCGAGGGCGGGCAATCCATTGCCAAACAAGTCCCCTTTGGGCCAGTTCAGCTCTGACTGTGCTTCCAGAAGCCTTTTGGGGGGGGTGGGGTGGGGGGGCTGCACGTGGTAGTTGGATGTGGGGGGTGGTGGCTGCGGAGCTGTGCATTTGGTGGGCTATGAACCCCCCCCCTCTCTCTCTCTCTCTCCCTGTTGTAGGTGCCTTTGTGGTGTGCTGGACCCCAGCGCTGGTGGTGCTGCTGCTGGACGGGGTGGGCTGCACCAGCTGCTCGGTGCTGAAGGTGGAGAAGTTCTTCCTGCTGTTGGCCGAGCTCAACTCCCTGGTCAACCCCATCGTCTACTCGTACCGCGACAACGAGATGCTGCGCACCTTCAAGCAGATCCTGTGCCTGCCGTGCCACAGGGAGCGGGGCTACGCGGACGGCGTCAAGTCGCACGCCCTGGTCCAGAAGATGCTGTCGCGCAACCCCAGGGACACCAGCAGCCAGCAGGACCACTCCAGCGTCTGAGAGACGGGACCACCTGAGCCGTGGCCGACCGGACACCGCCCACACCCCCCCCCACCCCCTCCCAACGGTGACTGCGGCCCGCTATCCCGCCCGAACATCCGGCGGCCCTTTTGTATTGAGGCCCACTTTCCCGCCCGAGCATCCGCCCATCCGGCGGCCATTTTGCGTCGCGGACCTCTTTCCCGCCCGGACGGCCGCCCCCCCCCCCGGCGGCCATTTTGTATTTCGAAGCGCGCGGACCGTTTGAAGGCTTTTTTTTTCCCCCAAAAAAAACAAACTCTCTTTTTTTTTAAAAAAAGAAAATATACATATAGATGTATTCCACCGAAAGAGAGAGGAGGAGGGAGGGAGAGAGAGAGAGAGAGAGACGGAGAGGGAGGGAGGGAGGGAGGGAGAGGGCATTAAAAAGAAACACGGGACCTACTCCGCACAGGAGATCCGGAAGTGCCCCCCCCCGGCCCCCCGCCCCGTCCCCCCGCCATGTCAGGTGCTGCTCGTTGGACTGACTCGCTCGCTCCTTCACTCCCTCCCTCCCTCGGTCACACGCCGCTGGCAACGGTCACCGGCCGCGTGTCCGCCCCACTCTGCACGCGCTCTCTGCTCCCCCGCCCCGCGCGCACGGCTTTGACCCCCCCCGCCGCCCACCAACCCCGCATGCCCACATCTCGTCTCCCTCTCTTCACCACCGCCTCCCCCCACCCACCCCACCACCCCACCACCACCACCCGCCCTTTCCCCTGCGCAGGCGCCTCTCCTCGTATCCGCCACCATCGCCGGACTCCGTCCAAACCATCTCGCGAGCGAACGAGGGAGCGTCCGTCTGCCCGGCTCGAGGCTGCAGGTCAGTCCTCAGAAAAAAGAAAGAAGGGAAGAGGAGGGTCAGTGAACAGCGCACAACCGGCAGTGCCAGGAACTCCCCCCCCCCCCCCCCCTGGTGCCCACCCCCCCACCACCACCCCTTCCAGAGTGTCCGATATACCCACGTGCAGGTTGCGGGCAGGGGTCAAAGTGGAGGGAGGGGTGGGTTAGAGGAGGGGGAGTGGATGGGGGGCGCGGGGGGAGGAAGAGAGCAGGGGCTCTGGGGTTGGTGAGGAGACGACAGGAGGGGTTAGAGGAACAGGGGCGATGGAGGTGGGGGGGGGATTAGCTGACGAGCTCCTCAACGTCGCCAGTAATCGGGAATCCGTCCAGACCCCACTGTGCTCCTCACGATGCTCAGCTCCCATTTCCGCACCCCCACACCCTCCCCCCACCCCCAACGCGCACACACAATTATTCCCCCACTCTCCACTCCCCTCACCCCCAAACACCAGTCCTTAGCCCAAGTAGCGCCCAAGTCAATCTCTCCCCTGGGTCTCATCTCTCTCTCTCTCTCTCTCTCTCTCGAGGGGGGGTGGGTGGGGGAATGGAGTTCAGCTCAGGCAAGAGCCTCAGACCTGCCCCTTCTCACCCCCCACTCCCCCCCCCCAGACTCTGCATTACCTCCCCACCCACCGCACACAGCCCAATGTTACATTAAACCGCACAAAGGAGTGGGGAGAGTCAGGGTGCGGGTGCGAGTGACTGATGGGTGTGTGTACCCGGTCGGGGGGTCCTGTGTTGTCAATGGTCCTGCGTATTCAGTGGTACCCTGTGTACCAAGCGGGTTCACTGTGTAATTAGCCCACAAACCCAGCAGCGTACCCAACACCCCTCCCCACACCTGATCTCCTCACAACCCCAACCCCCACCTCATCTCCTCACAATCCTCTCACAACCCCAACCCCCACCTCATCCCTTCACAACCCTCTCCCTCTCACAACCCCAACCCCTTCCCCGTCACAACCCCAACTCCCTCACAACACCCTCCCCCTCACAACGCCCTCTCCCTCTCACAACCCCAACCCCCTCACAACGCCCTCTCACAACCCCAACCCCCTCACACTCTCCCTCAAACAACCCAACCCCCCAAACCCCAACCCCCTCCCCCTCACAACCCCCTCCCCCACACAACCCCCTCCCCCACACAACCCCCTCCCCCTCACAACCCCTCCCCCTCGAAAACACCTCCCCCTCACAACCCCCTCACAACTCCAACCTCCCCTCCCTCTCTGCCCCCCACCCCCACCCCAGACCGCTCTTCCTCTGCCCCCGCCCTCTCTACTCTAACCCGTCCTCTCTGTCCCCACCGACCCCCTCCCTCTCTGCCCCCTCCCTCTGTACTCCATTAGCACAAGCGCCTGTGCCGGGAACTCTTCCCTACCCAACCTCCGGGGGCTCAGGGCGTCTCATTTTGTCTTGGATGTTTTTTCTCCCCTTTTTGCAGCGTAACTCGTATTGTAAAGTATTTTTTATTATCGCGCCTGTACATTATGTGAACCATTTTTAATTAAAGGCCCAAAAAGAATGTTTTTGTGCGGTTTCCACCTTCATCACACCGACCCCTCCCATGTGGCGAGGTGACAGGAGTGTTTATCCGGGACTATCTGACTATCCGACAGCAACAAAATTGTTAAGCGCCTTTCACGTCGAGAGGAAGTCCCGAGGACAGTCAGGGATCAGAATATTTATTGCCAGTCAAATGTTGTCTGAAAAGATGGAAGGCCTCGGTCGTGCTGACATTCAGCTGTAGAAAGTTGGCTCTGATCCAGGCCTTGATGTCAGACAGATAGTCTGTCAGGGAGTCAGTTGTCCTGGAATCCAGGGTGGGGGCGGAGAGGTAGAGTTGGGTGTCATCCGCGTAGAGGTGAAGGTTGACCCCATGTCTGCGGAGGATGTCACCAAGAGGGAGCAAGTACCGGTTGAAGAGGAGGGGACTGAGGACAGAAACCATTCAGAAACAACAACAACTTGCATTTACACAGCACCCTTCACCTGAGTATATCCTCCCTGCCCCCCCCCCACCCAACCCCCCACCCACCCAACCCCACCCCTTCCCTCACACGCAGGCCCAGACCCTCATGATCTTGCTCGCAGTCTAGGCTGACCCATCAGTTCAGTGCTGGTAGCAGTGTTGGGTTGTCAGAGGTGCCATCCGCCAGTTGAGCTATTGAACCAAGCTCCCGTCTGCCCCTCGCCAGGGCCCATCAGCACAGCTCAGAGTGCCAGCCCAGTCGGTAGCAATCTCGCCTCTTGAGTCAGTAGGTTGTGACTCCAAGCCCCCATGTTGGGCTTCAGACCGGGTTGGATTGTAGACTGAAGCTCCAGCGAAGTACTGTGGGCATTGTCGGAGGTGGCGTCCTTCCATCGAGACGTTTAAACCGAGGACGAGTCTGCCTGTTCGAGTGGGTGTCAAAGATCCTGCGGCTCTAATCGAAAAGAGAAGGGAGATCCTTCCTCTCTCCCGACATCTTGGCCGACAATCCCCCAAGTAAAACCAGTGACTCACTCACTCCGTGGCTTTTTATGGGGCTATTTGCTGACTGCCAATTGGCTGCCTCATTCACCCCAGAAAATAAGCTCTTTGAGATGTCTTGACGGCGTGATAAGGAATCATATTAACCATAAAGATGACTGTTGTTAAAGATCCTGTGGCACAGGGCAGGAGTCTATTCCTGCTAAACTCATCCCTTCTCCAAACACAGCTGGGGGAGGATTTCCTGCTTTTGAAACCTCCTGCCACCACTTGCTTTTCCCTCAGATTTATGCTGCAGCTTGTCGCTTCTCTTCATGAAGTTCCTCCCAACTCCCCTTCGAGGTCTGTTAGTGGCTTTCAGTCTGTGTGCCTGCCATGTTTGCCCCCCCGTTAGACTCTGGCACCTCCGTGACAGACTTTAAGTACGTGCCAATAACCCTCCTCACTTTTGTTCCTCTGCACCTTTCAGGTCGGGAGGACTTCCCGAGGTGCTGGACGGTCGGGGATTTGGGCCCGAGGAGGAGATTGGGATCAGGGAGGGCAGGGAGGGTGGGGGTAGGAGGGTGGCCGAAGGCGCAGTCTAAGAGGGGGGTATTGAGACAGAGCTTGAAGGAGGCAAGGGAAGGAGCCAGGCGAGGGGACTGTGGGATGGAGTCCCAAAGGGTGGGGGCAGAGAGGATGAAGGCTCGACCGCCAATAGTAGGGCGGGCCGGGCAGGGGACATGGAGCAAGCCAAAGCCTGCTGAGCAGAGGGAGTGGACAATTGTATTACCGAGTCCAACACAACGTGGCATTTCATGTGTCGTACCTTTTCCCGTGATTCTCCCACTGCAGCAGAGCTTTGTGTTTTGTGTTTGGGAAGGTTGGTGACCCGCGCCAGAAGAGAGAGAGAGAGAGAGAGAGACAGAGAGAGAGCAATAGATAAAAATGCTTACATTTTGCCACGTTATATCGTCAACATCTCAAAGCGCTTCGGATGAGTTTGAGACGCTGTCGAATGCGGTGACTTATTTGATGACTCTTTGTAGGCAAATGCGACTTGAAGCACCGCAGCCAATGAGGTGAACAATCTGTGTTGTGGCACCTTGTTGTGTGCAATTTGGTTGCCACATTTGCCTACAGATACACCGCCACAAAGTTCTCTTTACAAATACTCGCCATCCGGAACAGATCTGTAATTCAAGTAATCAATGTGGCTTAGTTGGTAATAATAATAATAATAATAATAATAATCCTTGCATCTGGTATAGCGCCTTATCACATCTTCTAGATGTCTCAAAGTGCTTCACAGAATATACCGTAAAGGGAATTGACTGTAGAACAAATCTATGGAAGCAATATTTCAGTGAGCGGATAGTAAACCCAGGGAGACAGTTGAAGCAGGAAATGTTGATTCCTTCAAACACAGATTAGAGAGTTTTCTTTCAGGAGACAACATGATGGGATATAGCATATAGGTAGTTTGGGACAAAACCTGGCCAAACAAAAAACTGAGGTCCATCTAGTTCGCCTTCCACTTTCCTGGTGATCGCATGCATATAGGTCCCAAACTACCGATGTGCTATATCCCATAATTCGTGTTTGAAAGAATCAACATTTCCTGCTTCAACCGTCTCCCCGGAGAGCCTGTTCCACGGGTTCACTATTCGCTCACTGAAATAGTGTT